GCCCCCACTCACCACCCCTACAACTCTGGGCTGTACACCATTTCTTGTACGCATAAAAATAAAATCTTTTTTTTAAAGTAAAATGAAAGACAGAAATGGAGGAGGAGAAAAAAGAAGAAAGAAGGTAGGAAAAGTAAAAGGAAAGAAAAGGAAAGCTCAATACCTGGAGTTTGGGTGTAGAACCTCTTTGGCCATGAAGCCTCTCTTGCTCTCTGTGTTGCCCACGCTCGCCGCTAGCTTCTCTTGGAGGCCAGTCCCATGGTTCCGAGTAGAGTGACCTGGCAACATCGCCCTGGCAGCATGGTACTCTGAGGGCTGAGCAGTTCTGAGCCAGCACTGAGGTGCCGCCAGGCATCCACCAAGGAGCCTTTGCCTGGCACCTGTGTCCGCTTGTGCACCATGCGGAGCCCAGGGCACATTCCGGAAGGGAAGGGCACATTCTAGAGGAGGTTTGTGTGCTGTCGCGTCCTGTAGACTGCTCTCAGCCTCTTCCCACTGCAGCTCTGTCCAGCGTGCAGGGGGGTAGATGAGGGTGCTCAGGTGACCACCGACTCCTGTCCCTTGCTGTGACCCTGAAAGGATCCATCAACACTGTTGAACTCAGATCCAAGGTTGCTGTGAAAGTCCCTGCCTGATCAAGGGGTGGGACCCACCCAATGGGGAGGGGGTGACTCCAGATGCCCATCTGCGGGATCTGCCTGTGTCCATCAGGTCTGCCACGGGTCCCCGGGGGCACTGAGAGCCTGGTGGCCCCAGGGTTTAAACCAGTTATTACATACCTATAGATAGGTGTGCGTTTTTTACACTCACACATCTGAAGAAAATCACAAAAATTAGGTACACAACGAAAATAAAGAAACCCATCTCAAATGAACATATTTGTGAATTACTCCAAGAGGGAGGAGGTGAAAGGGAGAAGGAGAGATGCTTGCTAAGATGCTGTTCCAAAATTTGACTTGACCTCCGAGCGCACTGGGATTTGAAAAGATTCGAAACGAAAAGTCTACACTTAACTTCGAAATTTCCTTAATGTAAGGCGTCCTAGATCTGCGTTCCCACGGAGAGCGTGAATCTGCCATCCCCGGGGCCATCTGACCAGAGAACTTGAGGAGGGGCAATTTCATAACACCAGATGTTATGTTTTGAAGCAGGCCAGTTATTGTCAGGCTCGGCCCGACCCCAGCAGCAGGATCAGGGCACTGGCCGCTGCCCGGGTGGTGCGTTCCCCTGGTTGCTGAGACCCGGCAGGCGCCAGCGCCCGCGCGTCCGCCGCGGAAGGGCAGTCAGAACTGAAGGAGTCAGGAAAGGCTTAAGAATGCTGAGGGAGCGGAGTGCCGAGCGTCCTGAGCGCTGAGGCCACGCCTTTGGGAAAGGGACCGAGAGCCAGGCGCGGGAGCTGGAAGTGAGGCACTGGCTGGCGAGGCTCCACCGGGCCGGAGTCCCCGGCCTGTCATCTGGGGGAAGGGTACGGAACTCCCCGAAGGCACTGCTGCACGGCAGACGAACTGCCGCGAGGAAGAAACTCCCGGTCCTGCCTGCTCCCCGCTCTTCGTTTTGCCCAGTAAGACATAAACTCGCGGCAACCTGGAGAGGAGACAGAGGAATGGGCTGGTGAGGCTGGACAAGGGCTCTCCAGGCAACGCAGAAGCAGCCAGACCCCAACTGCTGCCTAGCTCACCTCCGGACTCAGTTTCCCCTTCCACGCAGTGGTTCGAGGACTCCTTCCTCACAGCAGCTCCAGAAACCCGCCAGAGAGGCGCTGGGCAGGAGGGCTTGACGCAGGAGAGGGGAGGCGGTCTAGAAGTTATGCACCTGGACGAAGGGCGCTGGATGGAGGGCAGTAACCTCCGGGCATCACTGCCTCCAGGGTGGCTGTGGCACAGAGGGGCGGAGCAGCGAGATGGGGAGGAGGAGCAGACCCCGTCTGCTTTCTGGAGGCCACTCCTGATCCCCAAGCCCCACAAGGCCCAGCCGCCAGGGACGGGGTAACTGGCCTTGGGTGTTGAGGTCACATTTTCCACTGGCTCACCTCGCAGTTGGCGGACAGTTTCCGGGACTTCGTGGCGGCAGCGTGGTAGGCTGGAAGTCCAGGTCGGTCGTGTCGGGGCGTCTGGCCTAGGGGCTGCGCGGCTAAGACAGAAGACCGCGGGGAGGCACACCTGCTTCTCTGTCCGGGTGGGAACGAGAGCAGGCCTCAGTGTTCCCTACCCGGAAGAGGGCCCCCAGCTAACAAACACCTTCTTCGAACCCTCTGCAGGCTGCCAGCACTGCAATACCAGTGAAGAAAAGGCTCTTCTGTTTGTGCGCACTTATTTTTTTTTCGTCTGAAAAGGGTTTATCTGCTATCTGCTTTGGAATCTTGAGACCGGGAAACGGAGTTTGTAGGTGGGGGAATCAGATCCTACCTGCAGAGGCGAAGTTTCTAGGAGGTACCAAGCCAGGGGTGGGATGTGCGACTTTTCAGCTAGCCGAGACCTGGAATGCTTGAACTCGTGCTGCAGTGCATTCCCCAAAGAGTCCTGGAGCCTCTTCTCTGTACCCCCAGGACTGTACCTTCTGGGCCACCGGGCAACAGCTTTACGAGTTGTCCAAGGAGTGCCTGGCACTTGTGAAATGGTGTGGGGATGACTTCCCCAAGTTTAGAGATGGAGTCTCATCCTGACAGTGACCTCCTATCCTAGAACCTGACCCAGGAACTATCCACGGACCCTCAGGGGAGGCAAAGTTTTTTTGGTGGGAGTTATGACTGTGGTCCCCAATCATCTGTTCTGGGACCTGAGACCTTCAGGGCTGCATGAGGTAGAGGATGGTTCAAAGCTGAGGCTTTTGTTATGAAACTCAACTTGGATGTGATAGGATTGGGTGGCTTGGGAAGGGGTGGGAGCAAGAATGGGAAGGCCGGTGGCTCCCCTCAAGTGTGGGAGGCAAGAGAAAAAGACTCTGGATACTGACAAATATATTAGATCGATCCTGTTTTCTGTGTCCCTAGCCAGTGCCTTCCACTGGGTCTCAGTTTCCCCATCTAAGAGAGAGTAAGTGGTGAGGCTGTTTGACTCCCAAGCACCTGCCTGGGAGGTGCTTTCTAAGCCTATGGGTGAGAGGTCCCAGCGGTGCTGCTCAGGACTCTGGCTTTTCTCTGTGTAATGGCTGCTGGACACCTACCACCTCCTTCCCTCTGGGTGGGAAGAGGTCCCCTCTGCATAATCACTCTTGGTGTGTATCACTCTTGGTGTGTATCACTCTTGGTGTGTATCACAATTGGTGACACCACCCCACCCCTTTCTGATGATGCCCAAGTCCAAATACACATATGGAGTCTGAAGCACCCAGAGGCCACCTGGTTCAGTTCCAATGATGGCTCTGAGGTTTAGAAGGGGGCAGCCTGGTGAAGTCACTTAGGTGTGTGTGGCGGGGGCAACAGACTGCTGGGCTGTTAGGGTCCTGGTCTTGCCAGAGGCTCTGGTTAGACTTATCCCTTTGATCCAAGGGCAGGGTGCCTCTACAAAACCCTACTTCACATAGGCAGCCACTGAGATCCCAGACAGAACTCATATGAGTGCAGGAGTAGCCCAGAACCCCAGCTGGTGGCTGCTGAGGGGCAGGGTGGGCAGAACAGGCACTTGTCCCGGCCTTCCATCCAGTTCCACCCTCACTGCCCCTAAGAATGAACTGTGTGCCCCTTTCCAATAGACCTTGTGGAGCTGGTGGGTGCAGAACCTCCACTCCACCTCCCGAGCCACCCCCCCCCCCCAAATGGAAGTGTCAGCATCTCCTCCAGGTAGGGCAGCAGACTGAGGCCCAGGAAGGGCTTGCCTGTACATCTCACTTGAGAATGACAGGGCCAAAGTGTGAAATGCCGCAGAGAACTGCACTTTGGGGGTGTTCATCCCAGAGCTTGAGCTTCTTATTTCTGCAAAGATGATGAAAAGGAGCTAGGGAAGGCACAACCCATTTCCTCAACCAGAGAAGAACCAGGTAGGTCCCACCCCACAGTCGATTCCCAGACTCTGCACACCCTGTGGTCCCTCACTGGGTTTTGCGCAATACTCACTTTCTACGATGTTCCACAGTTGGGAAAAGGCAAAGCCTTTTTCCTGCCCCTGGCAACTATTTATTCCTCTGACTACCGGCACAGCACCCTACAGTATCAGGGGTTGCCAAGGAAGATGTATCCGCCAGCCACCTGGTAATAAAATGCTCTTGCAGGAGAGCATTTTCCTCCCTGGGGCTCCCTGCGAGAAAGGACTGGAGCCCAGCAAACTGAGGTGGGCGAGCGCAGGTGCTACAGCTGTTCGGTGAGCTGTATCCCTGCCCGGCTGGCTGCCCCGCGCCCAGGTCAGAGGCTGTGCAGTCACCCTGTCCTAGGCGAGACGGGAGGACGTTGCCTCTGCTCCCACCTCACCCCCACCTCTCCCAGCCTCCCCAACCCTGCCCAGGCTGCTTGCCTCCCTACAGCCCCGCTCTGGCTCTCTGCCGCGCCCGCCCGCGTGCCTATGTGCCCTCCGGCACGTCTGGCCCTGAGGCTCCGCGCCCGCGTCCGTCCGCCTCAGCACACGTCCTGACACCCTCTCATCTCGGTCTCGCGTCTTGGGTGGCCCTCGCTGTCTCTCACCTTCTCGATCCCTCTTCTCCCAACTCTGGGATTAGGTCTCCGAGTTCTCCGGCTCTCTTTCCTGGGTGTGCGCGCCGCCCGGTCTCCGCCGGTCTAGGGCGTCCGGCCCCTCTCGCTGGCCCTCCCGCCTCCCTCGG